ACTGGAATTAGTATTAAGACTAGGAGTGGATGGGTCACTACAAAAACTAACTTCCCCCTGCTGATACTCACACCTTCTTGTCAACTGTTTGAAATGGGCCACCTTGTTTTACATTGGCCTCATTAGCACTACAAAAGTGATTTCAACCCCTTCTTGTCAACTGTTGAGAATAGCCCACTTCCACCTTAATTGAATTGCCTCGTTAGCACTGACCCCCCACTTGGTAAGGCAACTCCCATCTTTTCATATGCTGTGTATTTATACCTCCTTACCTTATGTTCCTCTCCATGCATCTGATGAAGTGGGTTTTAGCCCACAAAAGCTTATGCCCAAATAAATGTATTAGTCTCTAAGGTGCCACAAGGACACCTTGTTGTTTTTGCTGATACAGACTAGCATGGCTACGACTCTGAAACCTGCTTCCAGGAAGAGTGTTTTTGTTTTTATCTAAATTTCTCTGTGGGTATGGTGTGAAAGTAACAGGGAAAGAAGAATGAGGTGACCAGACAGAGTGACATGCCCACTTTTTGTGTCCCCACTGGGCGAGGTAGCATTTAGGGTCCCTGTTCTGTCTCTGTGGAGAAAGTGACAGGTGAGAAGACAAGCGCCCTACATCCACACAGAGACATTTGAAATACAGGGAAAAGATGAGGGGATTAAAGGGACAGGTCCCTCCCAATGCCTCATTTCCCTGTTTTTTTCCCACTCTTTGTGGCTGTAGGACTAGTGGATTCTGATACTTAGTCCTCTCCCCTCTCCCCTCGATTTTTGTTTTTGTTTTCGTATTTTCTGCCTACAAATGGGTGGAAATGGAGGAAAACAGAAGGAGACGACTGGGAAGGAAATTCCAAAGCAGGTTGTTAAACTTTGTGGTGATTCATTGTTTGTCAGCTCTGAGGCTTGGTAACAATGAATTCCCCAGGGAACACTGAGGTGTTAAACTCCTCTATAGAACCCTTAGAAATTTTCCTGGCCACAATTTCAGCCCAATCACTTCTTGTTCTCTGCTCCCTAAGAGAAAGAGACAAATCTTAAAAGGAGCTTAGCACCTGCGACTGCCTTTGGCTTCCACATGTTTGATTCATCAACATTTTATGTCTCTACTTTAGATTGTTCTCATTAAGGCTGATGTTTGTTAGGTGGGGGAAATACGGTAAAGTCATGGTTTTCTCCCATCAATACCTGTACAATTCCTTAGTTTAGATTCACAGGGAAACAAACCAAAAACATAACAATACATAAAAATACATTCCTGGCACACATTCCTGGCACAGTATTTTCAATGTGAGTCACTTTATTTCTTACTTTCAAAAGGATTTTTAACCTCTTTGTAATGGATTTTAATGCATGAAGTTTGGAACATTCCTGAAATACATGTAAAATACTGGGGGGGCAATGTACAAAAATATACAAACACACACATCCTTCTGTCCATCGCTTCTTGGGTGTGTTCTAGAATTCCCCTCTACACTAGGGCCCTCATCTGAAGTCAGTGGGAGGATTTCCACTGACTTCAAAGGGCTTTGGACCAGGCAATAGATGTTTGCTAGGTGTAAATATTCATATTGCAACTGCATGAAGGCAGGGATCTGTCAATTGTATTTCCTTGATGTGCCTTGGGAATTTTTATGCTGCTGTACAGATAATAAACATTATAATTAAGAGGTTACAGCACACACTTTATAAATGTCACTTGTATCAAAACAAGATTTCCACAGATGAGCATGTCACAATCTCCAGTGCCCTATAAATAGAGAAACTCCCAGTCTCCTGTCTAACTTGCAGTTTCTTCTCCTCAGTGACATTGAGTTCCTGGCCAAACGTTAGCCATGAAGATTCTTTACCTTCTTTTTGCTGTCTTCTTCCTGGTGGCGCAAAGCACTGAAGGTAAGATTTCCATGAATGAAGGGAAAATATAGAAGGACATGTGTGAGCCTGTACTAAGGTTGCCTAAATCTTTGTATCATAGTTTTTTCCAACTCTTCTTCTAAACAGCTCTAGTACTTACAGGGTTTATAGCAGATACTTAAAATTTAGCTGGGGAATAATCCTGGGGTCAGGAAGGTCCCTTTGATATGCCTATGAAAATCTGTACAGATGTGGTTGAACTATAACCTGTAAAAACTTCACCTAAATTCTATCTAGTGGGGTGCTTCTAGGATTGGTTCTTGGTCCTGTCCTATTCAATTTTTTTATCAGTGACCTGGAAGAAAATATAAACTCACTGATAAAGTTTGCAGATGAAAAGAAATTTGGGGAGTGGTAAAAATTGAAGAGGACACAACTCTGATACAGAGTGATGTGGATCGCATGGTAAGCAGGGGGCAAACAAACAATACACATTTAAATAAGGCTAAATATAAATGCATACGTCTAAGAAAAAAGAATGTAGACATAGTTACAGAAGGGGTCACTCTATCCTGGGAAGCAGTGACTCTGAAAAAGATTTGGGAGTAAGTGGAGAATAATCAGTTGAATACGAGCTCCCAGTGTGAAGCTGTGGCCAAAAGGGCCAATTCAGTCTTTGGCTGCATAAACAGCGGAATATCAAGTAGGAATAGAGAGGTTATTTTACCTCTGAATTTGGCACAGGTGAGATCGCTGCTGGAAAACTGGGTCTTGCTCTGGTGTCCACAAATCAAGTCTGTTGCACCCGTGCATGGTTTAAAGGATACATTGGGCGGAATGCTTGTCAATCAAATTTGGCCCAGCTGCCCCTCCATCATTTTGGGGGACCTCCGCAAACTGCCTCTTTCATTCTTCCCCACCCCAGATAGCCCTGAGGAAAGACTGACCTGAATATCTGTGTGGACACAAGATATATCCTCTTCCTTTGGCCTGATCCCATGAAAATACAGTTTGTTCTAGTGGAGGGTGAACTAAGTTGGGAATCAGGAGAATATGAATTCGAGTCTAACTTCTGCTCACAAATGTTAATTACTTAGGGCTTTGATGTCCCTTATTATTAAGTGTTGTCTCACTCCCAGGAGAGAATACACAATCTGGGACTAAAACCCCAATCTTTAATGTGGCAAATCATTTTCTCAGTATTTTAGCAACACTGTCTCCCAGAAATAATCTGCTATATCTGTGTTCTGGGCTAGATTACTGCAAAGGCCATTGTGCTGAGTTGTAGCAGTTTCTGAAGAAATGACATTGCATCCGTATACATTATTATTATGTTATTAATGAATTAGCACCTAGGAGCCCCTGGTCATGGATTTGGACCCCATTGTGTTAGGTGCTCTACAAAGTACAGCTAAGACATACTCCCTACACCAAACATGTATAAGATGAGAGAAATTACATACAAATAGGGGGAGCTCCAGGAAGCAATGAGACATTACTGTTTAGGTCTTGAGTTTATGCCTGTGGGGATTGGATACTTTAATGAAAGCATAGCTAAAATCCAGTTTAAAATAGTCTAATCTAAATATCCCAAAGGGTGAGGTGATGGCCATTTGGGCTACATTTTCCAAAAGTCCAGCCTCTCTCCTATGACTATACCTGGCAACTGGGCAGGAAGAAACTATTCCTGAGTGCTGAGTTGTCACAGAATGTTTCTGCAGAGTCTCCCAGACCATAAGGCATTCAGACGTGAAGGGACTCGGTCAAACCCTTCTGTTCCTAAATGTTGCAACCATCCATCCCAGTGCTGAGCCGGTTCAACCCTGCTCAGCCAACCAGCATTTGTGATATTGCCTGGAACATCACTGTTACAAATAAGAAAGAGTCAGAACCGCAGCAGCAGCCACTAAGGGAAGTTGGCGATTCAGGCAGCTACCTGCTTCCTGTGCCTGCAAGGTGTGGGGCTGTGAAGGACATCCATGCTCAGTGCTGTGGTTCTGAAGTGTGCAGCCAGGGAGCCCGTGCTTCTGCTTAATTAACTTCCTCTGTTCTCTTCCTAGGGGCAGCCATTGAATGGGCAGAGAACTACAGCCATTTAAGTATTATGAAATATCAAGTAAAATGGGGCACAGGAAGATAATTGGGTTGTTTTATCCGGGTCTCAGTGAACGGGAAATTCATTAAAGCCCATCATGCTACAGCCACAGCTCTTGTTTCTCTGCTGTGTGAATGAAAATCATGATTCTTTTTTTTTTGTGTGTGTGCAGTTTCTAACCGTGGAATCATTGGCACTGCCATATGCCTAAGTAAGAAGGGTGCCTGCTTCCTTTTCCATTGTCCTCTCAATACAGTGCGTATTGGACGCTGTGGTCTGTTTTGGCATTGCTGTAGGTGGTAAGTTCAGGATTTTCACAAGGGAGATACTGCACTGTGAACAGAACTATTTCTCTCTCTTTTTTATGTATCCAAGCTATTGTTTAATGCTCTTGCAGGCTTCACACACAAGGCGCAGCCCAGGGCAGAGGGCAATGGAAGGTCCTGTACTACCCTGATTCTGAACTGCCTGGGTGCTTCTTTGACCCTTGTTGACTTCTCTTACTTACAGCTGCCTTACTGTGCTGGCCATGGCTGGTCCACAGCCCGGAGCATCTGTCATGCTCAGTGCTATAGAGATTGCTCTGCTGAGATCAGATAACATCCAGCACCATCTCCAGCACTAACCCTAAGACAGTGTTTGCAAGTAGGGCAGCAGAGGGCCAGTTATGCCTGCTGCGTGTTGGTCGTGCATTGGGGTGACTCTCCTCCAAACCCTTTTAGAGCCCCTGTGTGTTGCCAGAGCATTGGTAAGCCCTCTCAACAAAGGCAGTTTCCAATCTTTCTATAATAACTCCATCCTCTCACTTGTCCATTTCTGGAACAGCCTCTTTCTTAGGGGAACATCAATGAATGTTCTACAAACGACAATGGGGTCTCTTTTTTTGAGTGTTTGAGCACAGTTCATTCAGGCATTTCTGGTGCTGAATGTGTTTGACACAAGTTCTATTCATTCCTGGGACATGGCTTCTGCCAAAAACAGAGGGATTCTTTGACTTGTAGTCAAGCAACCATGGGAACTGTAGGCTCCTGGAAGGCCTGTTTTTCTCAGTCTGAGGGGAATGGTAGGACTTGTTGTGAATCTCTCCGGTAAGTAGGAGTGAGGGAAAGAGCAGAAGTGCTGATACAGAGCAATCCGGGTCACCAGGTAAGCTGAGCTGAAGGACACAATATGGGCTTTAATACAGCTAAATATAAATGTATACATCTAGGAATGTAGACCATACTTATAGGATGGGGTATTCTATCCTGGGACACAGTGACTCGGAAAAAGATTTAGGGGTCATGTGGATAAACAGCCTAACATGAGCTTCCACTGTGATGCTGTGGCCAAAAGAGCTAATGTGATCATTGGATGAATAAACATGAGAATCTCAAGTAGGAGTAGAGAGGCTATTTTACCTCTGTATTTGGCACTGATGTGCCTGTTGCTGGAGTCCTGTGTCTGCCTCTTGTGCCCAAAATTCAAGAAGGATGATGGGTTCAGAGAAGAGCCAGAAGAACGATTTAAAAATTAGGAAGCATAGCTTATAGTGACAGACTCCACGAGATCAATCTATTTATCTTATCAAAGAGAAGATTAAGGGGTAACTTGATCACAGTCTATAAGTATCTACATGAGGAGAAGTATTTAATAATGGGCTATTCAATCTAGTAGACAACAGTATAAGATAATCCAAAGGCTGGAAGTTGAATCTAGGAAACTCAGACTGGAAATAAAGTGGACATTGTTGGTGATGGTAATTAACCTCTGGAAAAATTTACCAAGTATAGTGCAGGATTCTCCATCACTGACAATGTTTAAATCAAGACTGGATGTTTTTCTAAAACAATCTGCTCCAGATATTATTTGGGGAAAAACGGTAAGGCCTGTGTTATATAGGAGGTCAGCATGCTCAAATTAATGTTGCAGGAAGGACAGGACCCACAGAAGCAGTAGAGTGGGGGGTGAGATCTTCCCAGCCACAAAAACACAAGGGAGTCAACTTGCTGGGAGCTACATGTGAGCAACTGCAGTGCTGCTCTCCTGGCTCATTCGCTGAACATTCTCAGAGCTCCATGCTATCACTAGACCGAGCTGCTAGCATGGAACGGCCACCAGCATGGTCAGGCTTTGGGCTTCTATGAGCTGGGAGGCAGAACTGGAATTTCTATGCACTCTGAAGAATAGAATTGATTGTGTAAATAAGTATTTGTTCTTTAAATGTTGCTATAGACAAAGGTGTATTTGTCAGAAATATTGTACATGGATGTGAGACTTTATGTATTTTTGTTTTATTTTTCTATATATAACAAAATTTGTCTTTTTAATTTTGATAAAAATTTCAATGAAAAAATCTTTGCAGCAGTTCCAATATTTAATTTGATGGTTTTTTTAAATGTCCCAGATGAATTTATTTTTTCTGGTTGTTGCTTTGACTGTGTAGAGTGTTAATAGTCAGGATTTTTTAAATAAAATTGAGAATCTGCCTTCTTTACTAGAGAGTAAGGGGTAAAGGGAGGGGAGATCCATGTTCAGAAATCTTGTTTATTTACCAGGTAGGTCAGAGAGGCAGCCAGTTCACATGTTTAGATATATCTGACTATCCTCATTAAAACTCTGTAGCAGAATGTAAAATACAGAAAACACCTGTTCTTGTGTTAGCCAGGAATATCTGTACTCACCATTCAGTGATGGACACAGTCCTGCTGTGCCTTTGATTTGAAAGTAAATGTCACATTTTCCTTTTTTAATGGCTATAAACACAGAATCTAAGAGTTTCTTTCATTTTTGCAGCAATAAGCTTAATTGATGGCTCCAGAGATTGTGAATGCAGGATCTCTGGGAATCTGGCAGAGGACGCCTTGCTTCTGAAATCATTGGAGCCTTTTCATCTGGGCTGTAAAGAATCTTGTGACCTGGAGAAAACCCACAAGGGAGCCCTAGTATTACCCATAATGACTTGTTATTCTCCTTTTAATAAAAGTAACTTCTTGTTGTGGCTGTGTACTGCTGAAACCTGAGTGGTGTGCAGGGGCTCTTTAGCTATTTCTTTTCCATAAAAATCCATTTATTTTTTTCCTCTTGAAATTAGAAATAAATAAAACAAAGGGTCACTATTGTATGTTAAATCCACCAGGGGTGTTCCGAGACTGGGGAACATACATATTTTTATGTTTCAGTCAACTCACTTGGGTAATCTTTACCTATTCCGTACACCTTTCACAAATCCATTTAGTTTGTGTTGTTGTTAGAGGAGTTGGGTCCAGTTACAGTTTGATTGTGTGGTGTATGTCCACCTCGGCACCTCAACCCTCCCTCTGCTCCGAAACCTTCCCATCACCAGTTCCCCTTCACTTGTGGCAGAGCTTCCAGACATGGCCCTGGGCAGCAGGTTCTCTTGCAGGAAAATAACAGCACAAATCCTCCAAACATTTCACTTTGCAGGTCGGACCTCAAGGAGACTGAGACATTCCCTCAAACAAGTCCACACAGAAGAGAACAAACGAAATCAGGTCAGGTTGTTTTAAGGGCTGAGGCCTTAAAGTTAAGGGGCAAAGTGGTGACTTGATTACAATAGATAAGTACCTACATGGGGAACAAATAATTGGATCTTCAATCTCGCAGACAAAGCTATAACAGAATCCAATGGTAGGAAGTTGGAATTAGACAAATTTAAACTGGAAATAAAGTTTTTAAAGTTGAGAGTAATTAACCACTGGAACAATTTACCCAGGGTCGTGGCAGATTCTCCATCACGGGCAATTTTTAAATCTAGATAGGATGGTTTCTAAATGATCAGCTCTAGGAATTTTTTGGGGAAATTCTATGGCCTACATTATACACAGAGCTGTAACCAGGGCAGGGTATGCGAGGCAGCTGCCCATGGCTCAAAGCTGCAGGGGTGGAAAAATGATGAAAAGAACTGGTTTGGCAGGGGAGCAAATATGCTTGGTCTCCCCCTGGGTGCTAAATGCCTAGTTACGGATCTGATCGTACAGGAAGTCAGACTAGATTATCACAATGGACCTTTCTGGCCTTAGAATTCATGAATCTATTAATTCTGCTTCCCATTACGCTTGTATCGTAAGTGTACTGGTGCAAAACTGGCATAAGAGAGGTCAGAACTGGGCCCATGATATTCCACACAAAGAGGTTAGAATAAGTTTACAAAAGCGAAATGTCTGCACTGGTTCAATCTCAAATCTTAAATGCCTTACCCGTTCCTGCCCCAACAGTGGTCAGAAATTAACCACTGCCGTTAGATCATTCACAAGAAGTTTAGCAGGGTAGGCTCTATGTGGAAAATCTCATCCCAGACTTAACTAGGCAGATGCTATGGCTCTCCATGATTCTCTTTGTTGCACTGTCACCGAAGTCCAGCAGGCTGAGCTGTGCTGGTTCCTAGTGCAAGGCTGTTATTCGAGATGGAGGACCAGCTTTCCTTAGCCACCTCGGTCTTGTGGTTAGCACTCAGGACTGGCAGCCACGGGTTAAGTAAAAGGCATTTGAGAAATGTATCTAGATTCCCCCTACCTTAATAAGGAGACATTAATCTCTCCCTTCCACAGATGTACAGAACTTCTCAACCCCCACATCGAACTGGACATTAGGAGGGCATGGTTGGGGGGGATAAGAGGGGCTGGGCAGTGGGAAGTGTTTGAGTCCTTTCTTAGAGTTAGGGAGGGTTTGATAGCAAGGAAGTGGGAGTCAGGGGCGTGTCCGTGGTGTGAGGACTCAGGAGAAATTTCAGGCCCTGGTTGTGTCAGCTGGAAATCAGGTGACCGATGTCTTTCCGAGGGGTTCATGTTGATTGCTAAAAAAGCTGAGGTTTTTTTTTTTTAGCTTGGGGTAATTAATGCATCTGAGCTATCCCAAGGTAAAACACTGTGAACACAAGGCAATATACTTGGACCACAAGGTACCTTTGGCAAGGTCAACCAGTTGTCTTAACTGGGCCCAGAAGTGTACCTTAACTGTGAACCCTACTGCATAATGTAGGGAAAATTCATAGTGTCACAATAACATATAACAATAAATGTTGATGGGAAAAGGTGTAAAAGTGAGATAGACAGTGACTGAATTACTCCAAAGAAAAAGACCATCTGATATAACTCAAGGACTGTGTTAAGATCATGCCTGGTAAACAAAAGAAGTGTGGGACCAGAAATCAACGAACTGAAAGTGATGTGTTGGAGACTACATCTAATTGATGGACAAAACAAAAAGGGGATGGGCTATTCCACCCACCACCATATTGGGTTTTTTAAAAGGCAAAAACTTTTGGAGGAAAATTAGCTGAAGAAAAAACAGCTGCCCGCCAACAGCCACTTCTGCAAGCTTTCCTATCTTGGCTGCCTACCCCCACCATTTCCTGGAACCTTGGGTTCGAGCATGACACCATTGTTCCTTCTTCGGCTTATCCTGAGAGATATTTTGACCAGACCAGGCCAGAGAGAGTGATTCAGATGACATCACCATCTCCACCAGCTCCAGCTAAATCCCAGATAAGAGATTTTGTCAACCCCACCTCTGTGGTTGTTTCCTTCCCCACTTTCTTTTTTCTCTTTCCTAACCCTCGTTTGCCATCTGTTTAATAAGCATCTGGCTTAGCCTGTCAAGACGGAATATTTTGCAACACAGCTTTGAGTGTGTGACCGGAAAGAGGCAGTAAATCAATGCCCTAAACGGCCCGAGGTGGTATAACTTCGCCAGGTCTCTGAGTGGCTGATGAGACCATGTGTTTTGCCGATGTTTCTCTAGCAATGTAGCTGCAAGTGAAAGTCTACACCAGAGACTATATTTTTTTATCTTTACACTTCTTTGTTTTTTCCATCTTGCGTGTGTTTGTCTTTTTTTTTTTCTTTTAGGAAAAGAGATTGGAATTTAACAACAGTAACAATGACAGCTCCAGCTCATCTCAACTAACTTCTGCTTTCCCCAAAAGAGCAGTTTTTTCCATCTTTAATACCATCAAAGAGACTGTTAAACAAGTGTTTTTATTTCCTTTCTAAAGACTTTCTTCATCTAAATGGAAAGGGAACAAGGAATGTTGCTAAAATGGAAGCCTTAGTTAGTGCTTTACATTTCAAATATTTTACCTGTTTTTCCTTCTTTTCAGTATCTTTCATACTGAGTAAAATAAAATAATAATGGTGTGCTTGTCATGGTCCTAAGCAGGCTGTGATCTCTGTATACCAAATCTCAAACTTTGTTTAACAGTGTTACATATTGAACAGTTACTGGGTCATGTTAATACCTTTGTCTCTTTGGGCCCATGTATTCCATCTACATTATCCGTGACTTGGTGAGTTTACCTCACAATAAAATTAAAGTGTTTTGTCTTCACTGTGTTTTTTTTACCTTGAAATAGCTCATGTGCCTTCGTTACCCTGAGGTAAAATACAACTCTTTTAGCAATGAAGATGAGCCCTTAATTATATCTCATGCTGACTTTGGGGGCACGGTCAATGAATCCCAGCCCATGCCAAACACAGTGGGTACAAAGAAAAGCAGGACTTGTGGCACCTTAGAGACTAACCAATTTATTTGAGCATGAGCTTTCGTGATGAAGTGAGCTGTAGCTCACGAAAGCTCATGCTCAAATAAATTGGTTAGTCTCTAAGGTGCCACAAGTACTCCTTTTCTTTTTGCGAATACAGACTAACACGGCTGTTCCTCTGAAACAGTGGGTACAGTTAGGTGATAACTGCATTGCTCTTGTGAGAGTTTGTTCTGTGAGCCTCTTCCCAAGGACCTGCCAGCATGCAGCTTCTTCTGCTCAAGGACTGATTTTTGTGCTGCTCCAGAGTCCTTTATGTTAAAACTCTGGTTTCCACTATTTCTTCTTCTTCTTTTATTATTAATTAATTATTAATTATTAATATTATTATTATTACGGTTTAGAGGCATCCGACTTGATAAGAGCCCCATTGTGCTAGGCACTGTACATTGTAAATGAAAGTCTCTTCCACAAAGAGCTTACTGTCAAGATTGACAAGACAGGCAAAGATAAGATCATTATCCTCCTTTTACAGACAGGGAACAGGGGCCCCAGGGAGATGAGGTGACTTGTCTGACATCACACAAAAAGTCTGTGGCGGAAGTAGGAACTGAGCCTGACTTTGTCTGTCTCAGTCTAATAGGTGAACCTTAAGATCATCCTTCCTGACGATACTTGACACTGTGGCCATTACTGTCCATGATGTCTGACCTCAACCCTGGCAAATCAAAGAATAAAAGCAGAATCTCTGTGGAGAGGCTAATGGAGCCACGGGCAGGAGCAGCACATGGGTTTGGCGAGAACAAGCCCTGCCAGACACACCCGACTGTGCTATTTGCAGAATTATATAATTAGTGGCTGAACAGCATGCAATAGATGTCACGTGGTTGAATTTCTCCAAAGCATTTACTACAGTCAAAAGGACACTGTCTTTTAACTTCAGTAGGCACTGGAACAGGCCCAGATTTAGAAGGTGTAGTCAGAGTGTAGCTTGTCCAGGGTAATGATGGCACAGAAATTATGGAATTCATTAGTACTAATAATGTCATAGACATCCATGAAGAGGCCAGAATCCTTGGTGTAACTTAGGCCAAAGACTTTAAAACACAGCAAGTGGCAGAGATTGCTTCTAAATTTATCTTTTTTTCTTCTTCCATATTATAAGCTTTGTGCCTGGAAGTTCATAATAAAGATACAGGTTTCAGAGTAGCAGCCGTGTTAGTCTGCATTTGCAAAAAGAAAAGGAGGACTTGTGGCATCTTAGAGACTAACAAATTTATTTGAGCATAAGCTTTCGTGAGCTACAGCTCTTACTTGATATGACAGTGTAATTTATCATTTTATTAAAGGGGAAAAGAAATGTAAATGTTGTCCAATAAAACGTAAGAAACTTTATAGACATTTGTAAATATGCTGAGGGTTCTGTAAAAAGGGCCTGCAATCTGAGGAAGCCTGAAATTTACCAAAGTGACCTGGCTTTCCAGAGCATTGCAAAC